ATTTTGATGTTAGGTACAGCAACAAAATCTTGAGAGATCCCACAAAGGAAGACCACGCGCCAAGTTCAAGTCATACCGTAAGCGTGACGAGGTCATCAAGCACAGACATAAACTAGCTGGAACCAAAAAGGCTATCCTTGAGGACAGTGGTCTCCTTCTCGACCTACTGAACGCCCCACCTGTTGAGGCTCTCAGACCGGCTGGTGTGTCTGCCTGAACTGTAGGCCTATGCTGAGAGATGTGGAGATGCTGTGCTGTGGACTGACTCCACAAAATTGCATTTCAGAAACTGAGCACTTCCGATTAATGTTAGATCCTTTCTTTGTAAACATGCAGAGACGTATGTTTAACAACATACAAAACAGGGAAGATCAGAACCAAGCTCCAGGGGCAGAACATAACAGGATGCGGTGGGGCATCTACGGCTCCTTTGTCTTGTGGCAGCATGGACGGCTTGGCATTGGCAACAGGGTAGTTGGGCCTAGCTGCATGGTTTGCAGGAGTCGGGACGAATATCCAGACCCGAATGGACACTATACAGTGGATTTATATTGTTATTCTGTCATGATTGTATTCTGTTTTGTTTTGTATTGTATTCTGTTTTGTATATTTTTATTGGAATTGAATAAACTGAATTGAATTGAAAAAAAATTGAATTAAAAAGGGATGAGAAAGAACTCAAAGACCAGTGGCGGCGAATAAAGCTGCAGGCGAAGTTCCGGACCCAAACAGGTAAGACGGAGGGAGGTCCGTCGCCAGCCGAGCTGTCCATGGTGGCAAAAGAATTTTATGCATGAAAAAAATGTCTGAAAGTGTCATGAAAAGTGTTCGATGATGTAATGGCATGTAGCAAAACAGCCCATGACAGAGGGAAATGGCTACATAAACGGTCTAAACATTCAAAGGACTCAAGGTTTCATATTGAAAATGGAACAAAAGTGTGTCAGGTTGCATTTTACACATTCCTGGGCATTCATAGAGCAATATTCTTTCAGAGGAAGAGAGCTCCCTTTAATAATGGGGAGCTTAATCTCATCTTCCAAATTCACAAACAGAAAAAATGTCTCAAGCAAGTATTCTCTGTATTATCTGCAGCAGCATGAAAGATCAAGTTACTGTGAGGAATGTAGCGCACAAAGGCCCGTCAAGGGATGTAAATAATATTAAGACATGTATTAAACCGCTATTGGAGTGCGGTGACAAGATCCCCACTTTTGTTGCCAAGGATCTGGACAGGCTACCTCTTGTTGGGTTCGACAACCTAGATGTTTCGACTAGGGCGGCTGCTAAAGCTGGAATGTGAAGTGGTCAACATCCATTAAATCCACAAAAGTGGGTCAAGTTGCATTTTACACATTCCTGGGCATTCATAGAGCAAAACATTCTTTCAGAGGAAGAGAGCTGCCTTTAATGGGGAGCCTAATCTCATCTTCCAAATCCACAAACGGAAAAATGTCTCAAGCATGTATTCTCTGTATTATCTGGCTGGAAGGATACATTTCAAGCAGAGTTGACCACATGCCACATAAAGATGAAATTCGTTTGGCCCATGGCCACACCAAGAAAGATATTTACAATGAATATCTCCAGAACAAGGCAGAGCTATTTGATCCAAATTGGGCACTTGCAAGAGTTAGTAGAAGCAATGGCAGCTAAGAGTTTGAAAGAAATTAGGCAGGAGTGGCGCAAAGAGGAGGGAATAACGGCAGATAATGCCCTCCTACTTGTAACACCAACAAAGGCAATGGCCGATGAGGTATTTGCCCTGGCGATTTCAGATCGGTTTTCCATGTTAAGTGGTATACTCAGAAAGAATGAGCCAACTGAAAATGAAACATTGATACTCTGTATGTTCGAGGGAGCCACTCCCATGGTAGGTGTAGGGAAGGAGATCCATATATCCGTAGATGGAGACACTGTGTGCCAGGTAGTTAGGTTTAGAGAGCAACCCCTCGAAAGGAGGTAGGATAAACATTAAGGACCTAAAAGATAGTGGGTTGGTAGATGAGTGGATGAAAGCTAAAGAAGCTGCATTGCTTAACGAAGAGGTTTCTAAGAAAGAAAATGTTTCCCCTAGCCCTAGCCCAGCCACAAATAACCTAGACCGGGAAGTCCCTTCACTGCCTGCGTCATTATCAAGATGCGCGCTTACAACAAATTACAGGAAATTGTGCCATTTCTTAGGTGCAAGGAACATGTAGTTGGAGGACTTGACCTGAGTGTAGAGTCAGACCAGGGGGAAGCGGTTGTCTGCCCGGGACTTGGCTCTTTCGAAGACCCTTATGAAGAACTAACCTCAATAGAGGCACTGAACGCGACCCTTGGTCTGGCAATACACGAAGGACACAGAATAGAACATATTAAGGAAACTATGAACTTGAATGTCAAACAGATGGCAACGAAGTATTAGCCCACGGAGCAAAAAAGGGAAACCCCAACTGGAAAAAGGAGGCGGTCACCGCCAGGCGGAATCCTGGTAAGAGAACATCCAATGCCCAGAGGGTCAACCGAGCAACGGCCAAGGGGAAAAAGAGGGCTTCCTCTGAGACACAAACCCTGTACAAGATGAATCCTCATAGACTCGTTGAAAAACTTCTCGATGGGAAGGACGGAGAGTGGTGCTCTGTCAGCCTGGAATTAAATTCAAAGAACCTATACGAACAGGTTCTTAAGAGAGAGTAAAGAGGTTGACATAGGAGCCTATGGCGGACAACGAAGGGATAGTGGACCCCATCAGCAAGGTTGAAATAGAAAGGGCCATCTCTACCACAAAGAAGGGATCCGCACGCGGACCGGTCGGGGTCGCCTATGATGCCCTAAAGGCCTATGGAAACTGCCAGCTGTATCTGTTAATTATGTATAACACATGGTGAGTTATGGGGAAGGTCCCTGCAGAGGCAAAGACATATAGATCGATTCTAATTCCCAAGGGAAAAGGGGATCCCACGGACATCAACAGTTTTCGTCCGTTAACACTCACCAATGTAATCAGCAGGTTATATTCCAAGATCTTGACGAGGCGGCTGGACGAGGCGGCTGGACTAGGCGGCTGGACCGGGCGGTAAGTGTCTGTCCGAGGCAGAGAGGCTTCACTCAAAGAGCAAGTATTGAAGATAATACGCTTATCCTACGGGAACTTATCATGAATAGCAAGAAAAACAAAGAATGCCTTGCAGAGGTACTTTTTGACTTAGCCAAGGCTTTTGACATCGTTTCCCATGATCTCATCATCAAGGCCCTGAGGAGGCATCGAGTACACGAACACCTCATTAGCATCATAATGGACCTCTGATGTACAATCTAATAGCAACCAAAGACTTAGCCCTGCACTGATCTTTTAGGAAATAAGACCAGGGGGGTGTTTCACAAAGATCCTAAGTTGAACTTATTTCTAAGTTGGACTTAACAATTATGGAAAGCCGTTAGCATCTATGGAAATATTTTGTAAAAGTTATTTCAAAAGGCATAAGATATTGATTCAAATCATTCATATTTTCTATTATTAAGGAATTTTCATGTTCGTGATGTGGAATTTATGAAAAGTCTAAAATACTGAAATTTTTTATTTTTAAAATGTTTTATTTTAAGCTACAGATGGCTCTCCATACTTTTTAAGTTCAACTTAGGATCTTCGTGAAACACCCCCCAGGTGTTTCGGCTCGACATGATGACACGTGGCCACCATACCAACAATACTGCAGAAACAGCAATGCGTGTTCTCAAAGATTAAATTCTGCGTAGATCAAAGGCATTTAACATAAAATGGAATTAACCCATTGCCTACGGGAACCGGGTGGTTCCTGTATTAAGCCTGTGGGAACTACATAATTCAGTAGTCAACAGGTTAAGAATGACATGTAGATAAGATATTGGATCCCGGGAAATTGGTTATGAAGCCTCAATAGCATGAGCTGTTCAGCACCAAACCCTGTCTACATAGACCAATTCTATTGTTACTGTTATCGTTGATATTTGACCAGCCCTTTATTGACTCATACCAGATACATGTAGTATATGAATTATTATTTTTATTTTTATTTATTGATTGTTTTGTGACTTCAGGTGGAATAGCTCAGCAAGACAACCCAACAAGGCCAAATGCTGAGGTGCCTGTGGATGACGTACAGCAAAATGAAGTTCGAAGTCTGTGTTCTTGGTGTCAACAGCCAGCGTCACAAGATTGAAGAATGAAGCGGTGCTCAAATGATAGCTGCGCAATCAGACTTTTCCATTATGAATGCTTGAGTCTTCACTATGACCCCCAGATTTACAGTAGTATTGCAAAGATTGCCAAGGTTAGTGAATATATGGAGAAACTTGTTACTAACTTATTGTTTGAATTGAAGTATGCACATTATTATGAGTTAGGGTGATACTTAAATGTTTAACCGCCGGTTTAACTGCCGGTTTAACCGCCGGTTTAACCGCATATCAATAAAACCATCTCTGAGCCTTAGACAACACAAAAACTGTTACTGCGGACCCTGGTCATCCCTTAGCTTGTTTCTGACATGGAAAGTATATGATATCATGAACCAAGCTTACGGATAAAAAGATGTTGAAACTTAAAAAAAAATCTATAAGTTACAAAGATGTAACTGCAACTACCTGAAAATAGCCAAGTGATACTATTGATAACTAAAAATTCATGAATAATTTGTGCACAATGACAATTCAAAACTGTATACCAGTAGAAGTTGACAAAACTGCCAACTGAACTTAAAAATGGCAATTTTTTTAAAAGATCTTGCTGCATAGCAAATAGGCAATATCCATCGGCCTAAGAAATAAGAAATGTTATACAAAAATAAATGTACATATCAATATCACATAATTATTCCTTCCTACTCTTATTTTTTTTAAATACAAAAGAATGTGGGAGAAAATTTCCTTTAGATCCATGTTGTCTCAGGTTCAGTCGTTGAGTGAAGATTCATGAAAATACTAACTCGTGCTTTTCCTAGAAACATGTACATGTACATGTATGCAGTACATCTTTATTTAATAGCTCAAAAAGTTCATGTATGTTTGCTGTGATTAAAACCTGAGCCTGTCAGAAGTCCACAACCTGCTTCACTTCTGCTGCAACGTTCGATGACGACGGTGATGATGACGATGACGATGATGGTGCTATTGATGCAGCTGGATCAGATGATGTTGAGGAGGATGATGGTGGTGGCGTTGATGAATCCGTAGAGGCCTTTAGATCAACAGCATCAAGCTGTGAAGCGAATCCAAAAATAAAGGAAATTGTCTCAATGTACATGTGATAATTTCTGAAATGTACGGTTGGGCCTGAAAGTTAACATACACCTGGTAGAAAAACATTACTTACATTTTTCCACACTGCACTCATTCCAATCAGGAGTCACAAATATAAATGTCTTATTAAAAGCGGTTATTAACGTATATACTATATATATATATACATTCAACAGAGGCCAAATTTATCTACATATATCTTCCTGAAGTGAAACGTTGGCAGGAATGAGTGAAGTTGTGATAATGTATATTGCTGTTGTCCAAGGTGTATTAAACCTTCTGTCCAACTGTATGTGCTACAGCAGTATCTTTACATTCATGCTCATATGTTTGAAAAACATGATGGAATAGAAAATGTGAACATGGCAATGTACGTCTTATTTACAAAGAAAATCACCTTTCACAATGTGAATTGTAGTTCATACACACATAAAGAACATGCAGTATAGAGTACCGAAGCTGTGACATCATACAAATCTATTTTTGGAATTTCTCAGTTTTTTCTTCATTTTCAGAAAGAGCATCAAAAATAATGTCCAAATATCGAAAAACCGATTGAATATGATAAGTATTGGCTGAGAAATGACCATCTGAATAACTAGATTTCCTATAGGAAACCAGTGTTATATTGCTCTGCTTCGTAATGTTATGAACCAGAGCAATATAACACTGAGTTCCTATAGGAAATCTTTTCATTCAGATGGTCATATCTCAGCAAATACTCAACATATTCAATTGGATTTCGACATTTGGACATTATTTTTTTTATGCTCTTTCTGAAAATAAAGGAAAAGTTGAGAAATTCCAAATATATAGATTTTTGATGACGTCACACTTCACCACTCTATACTAATAAGGAATGCAAAAAAAACAGAAACGAGAAGTAAATTCCCAAGAATATACATGAATCAAATAACATTTTGGTTGCCCATGGGCACTGTCGCATACACATAACAGATTTATTTCTGATTTTGTGTACCTGTATAAATATGTATAAATAAATAAATAAATAAATGAATAAATAAATAAATGACATCAAACTTACCCTCTTTCTTGCCTTGTGTGGTTTACCAATTCCAAGCCTTACAAAAAAAACATGAGAAAATAATTACACTCTGTCAAGTTGTGCATAGTCTTGCATCAATGTTGTGGTATTAAATATAATATATATAAAACACTGTAGAAATCACATTTAAAAGGGACATTGTATTCTTTTAAGAAGGCGGTTAAAACTATATTGTTGTCCAAGTATTGATCCTGTCGTGTGTCATTCTACTGTATTCATGTTTGTGTGTGACTGTACACTCCACCAATCATGTGTAATCGTCCATGACCTAGCATCGTTTATCCATCCATGAATGAACCTGCATTTAATCAGCAGATGTATTAGTTTTTTTGTATTAAAAGTTCCTTTTCCCCTTTCCTTTTCTTCTCTGCAAGTCACTCTTCTGCTTTTTTTGTTAATTGTTGTATCTAAGTTGAGGGCTGCGGACACGTCAAGCTACTTTATGCTGTAGCCCTCCTGCATCTAACGTATGTTAATTATGCATTCAATATATTTGTTTAATTTCGTATATTATCTGTATATTATATATATACACATGAAACATTGTATCAAACCATATTGTGTTCATGTAAATGTACGATGAAAAAAAAAGATGCAGAAACCAATAAATCAAATCAAACTTACTTTGGAAGTCCTTTGTTGAGTCCCTCTAAGAGAGTACATGCCTTACAGACAGGCTGGCTGGAGATGTAGGCACACCTAGAGCAGGTTCCCTGGGTCGGCATCTTCACATCCTTCTTGATGGACAGGCTCTCACCAGAATGGATGATATCTGATTCATGAGATGATCAAATATTACAGTCATATTAAAGATATAGACCAGCTCTGGTAATGCGATTGCATTGTGAAAGAAACGTTGTGGAATCGATCAGAAAAGGTTGATCATCTAGCATATAAGTATTGGTGTGTACTCCAAGGTGGTGGAATCATCAAAATGATAAGAAATTTGGCCCAGTCTTTGGTAAATTTTGTATTAAAAAAAAAACACAGATCAATACACTACAGTTCCTACATACAGGACAAAATGAACAAATGAATATCCCCAAATTGCTGATGTGAGATGCTTGTAGGATACTTTACAGGACAGAATGAGCATTTTGCCATTGAAAATGGCAGACACACACAAACAATAAAAAATTGTTGGAAAAAATTGTATTTTAGTGAGGAAAATCGTACTGTTGTATATTTACACTGTACAGGTACTTCTAAAAATCATACAAAATACAATTAAATCGTACTGGTTGGCAGCTCTGTCGAGCGTGCGCTTTTACACACCAGGTGCCTAAAATGTCTTTCCATAGCATTTAATTTATCGGAATTACATTGTAGGAGGAAAACTGCACTAACGCCTGTTGGGACAGCTTACCAATGATAGAAGTAGACCTGATCTTCTCCAAGTCTTTCAGGTATGCCCGAGCATAGCCGCGGTAAGCGTTTGGAGAGTAGATGCACTCGGTAGAGAAATAGTCCAGCTTCTTGAAGTACGCGTACATCACGATCTCCTTCTCGTAAGTGTACTTGAATGGCTTGCACCGTGGCAGCGCTCCTTCTGCTCCCTGCATGGTTTTCATGGAAATAAAATATAAATAAGTTAAAAGAGAACAAGTTTAACATTAAGCATTTGGCCCAGTCTTGGTAAAGTTACAAGCACTGTACACAGAAAGATGTATATGGGACTACGCGATATCTATCCAAGCCGGATCAATATGATTATTTACCAGATATATCAATTGGTACGCGGTTTCCCTGCAAAATTTGTATCATTACGCCTTTTGAGTAAGAAAATTGGAAAAAAATAGGGAAAAGTCAGGAAAATAAGGGAAACATCAGGAAAATAAGGGTAAAATCGGGATGAAGAAGAAAAAAATCGGGGAAAAATAAAAAAATCAGGCCTGCATGATATTACTTACCGTTATGATGTCTGCACACCTCCTCAATCTTGCAATATCACCTCGGAGGACTGAAATAAAAAAAAAAAATCATTCATAAATGAAAATAAAGTGGTGAGTTTTGAGCCATGTTCTCTGAATGCTCTATTTTATGATATGCCACCCTCACCCCCAAACCAACCTACAAAAGTTCTTTAGAACTAACTTTCTTTGTTTCTTTGTTAAATCAAATTTGTGTTTACTATCTGGTTGCTACAACATTTATAAGCTGAGGAAGTTATAAAGACCCACTTTTCACACTTTCTCTCCGACATAGAGAGTACAAGGTTAAACAACATAAAACAGTGTATAATCAGGTATGACGGGTTCAAAATTGAATCTAACTGAGTATTCATACCACAATTTGCAGTAGCATATCCTTCATTACTATTAAATTCATCTACTGTAGTGTCTATTTTTATTAAAGTTGGATCCGTTTTTACAAATATATAATAAAACATTCTGATGGGGGACGGATATCAAAAGCCTTCAAAGCCTGTCTGCACTAGTTTGGCCAGGGGGGATTAGACCTCCCTGCAAGGTCACTGACAGGTGGTTATCTCATCAAATCAGCTCTCAATTAACATAAGAAAAAGGGGATCATGGGTGACCAATGGTCACCGATTAGGCATTGTTGGCTGTATAGAGGGCGCAAGTAGCTACATAAGTAGTGCAGTGGGGTTTTAAAAAGTTAAGTTCGCACAAAGTGGGGGAAAGTCACCTCTTGCTCTCTGATATCACTTACTGTTCATAAGAATCGTTTCTGCAATGTCATCTGCATTGTGTCCTGTGACGATCTTGCCTGCATTGACCAGTAACGCACCTCTGTCTAGAGCTTGCCGTCTAAATACACCACAGAATGTACCTGAAATTGAATGTAGACAGCAGGGAGTTCAGAAATATTTCATTCAAACAATTTTTCTTTTGTTTGTTCCAAGCTCCAAATCTTGCACCTTGAATCTGACTTTTACACATGGAGAATTTGTCCCACTTTATGCATTTTAGAATTATCGCTTCCAGTGTGATGGAGGTTCTTCATAAATACCTTTTGCATGCCCTCTTGAAAAGAATACTTCCCCCTGTGTACCATAAAATGTACCACCGGTGCATAGATGAATAATGATTACATAACTTTTATGAACAGTTATCCAACAGTCGTCTCGAGGGTTTTACAGTTTTTAATGACTGATTTGTATCTGCCCATGTGCAGATAATAGGGACTTTTGCACGTCTACATAGTGGACTGCTACATGTACGTGTGACGTCCTTTTAAGGCACTGGCAGTGCCTTATTAGGACGTCCACTATGTCAACGTGCAAATCTAAAAGCCCCTAGTATCTCTGAAGTGGCTTTTTGATTCATAAAAACAAAATAATTTTGCATATTGCAGCTGAATTTAATATTAATTAAGTAATATGTGGTTATTAAAGGAACTTACAGTTGTTTTTTCGACCAATCTGCTTCACAATGGAATCCATTGTCCAGCCATATAGTTCCTGCACGAAAAAGAAAAAGAAAAAAAGAAGCAAAAAATGTTGATTCAAATCATTCATATTTTCTGTTATCATGGGAGATTTCATGTTCTTGATGTGGAATTTATCAATTTATGAAAAGTATAAAATACTTGAATTTTTGCTGTTGAATATATCTTAAAATAAGGCTACAAATGGCTTTCCATAAAATTCAAGTCCAACTTAGAGTTAAGTTTGACTTTGTGAAACACCCCCCAGGTCTTGTCTTCCCTTGAAGTTCAAGTTCATTTTGACATAACAACACTAAATTACTTTTGTCACTTGGAAATAGATCAAAATAGACAGAACATGATGAAGAAAGAAATCAGGAAGCCATACAAAACCTATCATGATGTCAATTCATCAAAATGTTTTTTCACTGACGTCAAAGGTATTAAGTGAAGTGTTACAAAATAGCCACGACATATATCTTTTATTAAAAAAAAGAAAAATTGTGTATCACGAAGGTCCTTCTATAAATTGCTGTAAAGGACTAAATATGCGAATGGGAAATTAGATGGTAGAGTATCGGTTAGGGGGAAGACTTGGTGCCGAGTGTTCTTTCAAAGTTTGGTTTGATATGAAAGTAGTTTAACATCGAAATATATATGATCAGCAGTCTTACAATAGTAAAATGAATATATGACAACTTGAAGAGACACAATTGATTTATCAAAACCTCTTAGATGACCAGAAGGTGAAAACTATATATAGTGATATCATCTACCAGTAACTCAATCATCTCACCTAAAAAGTTTGTAAAAAAAAATGAAATGTATATCTTCTTGAATTTCAGTTACATTTACATTTTCTTACCTCATATGAAACTATTTTCAAGGGTAAATCATATTGCTGCTGGTTCCTTTTCACAGTCTAGAGAAAGGGAGAAAGAAAAAATGCAGTCAAATATAAACAGCATCTTAATCAGTTTTGAACTACCAATAATCATTCTTTCAATCAAATTTCTGTGAAAATATTATCTTCAAACCCCAAAAAATAAAATAAAATAGCAGGTATACCACGTTTTGGGATTTGAAGTCCCAGGGTGGCATAAAACTCGTTGTCAAGGCATTCATCTTCAATTGCCACCCTCCATCCAGGTATAGTATGTGGGTATCTGATAGGATATACATGTAATGCCTTGGAATCCGTCAATAATGGACGCTAGGTTCAAAGCTGGAGTGATAATTTCCTAATCACATTGGAAGCAGTAACATGTAGACATCTATTATCAATAGGGACTTTTAGATTGAGTGGACGAGAACACGACGAACGCCGACTGATTATGCGTGTCAACGTACTCAACTGCCCATGTTGACTACAATTAGAAATCTTTTAGATTGCGCTCGACATATACATGCATGCAGGAAGTAACACTATGAACATGACAGACAAAGAAAGAGGACAAAATATACAGTTCCTCATTCTACCCTCAACAATAGGCCATTTTCGTAATGTAACCAAATTTAATGCATAGGTCTTTGTGAAGTGCCTCGATACAAATTATTTCATTCACCTGATAGAAATAATAGTATTTCAATAGTCAGAATGCAACTGCATATATTAAGTGTTGCTAGGTAGGTCAAGTCATAACGTTTGTCCAACCTGGCACAACTAATGTATGCAGTTAGGATTCTGTCTATTGAAATACTATTATTCTTATCAGGTGAATGAAAGAGTTTGTTTTGAGGCACTTCACAAAGGCCTATGCATTAAATTTGGTTACATTACGAAAATGGCCTATTGCTGTGGTAGAACATCCCTTCACTGCTATTATGTAAACATGTGTAGAACAGGTGAATATGCATGTGACACCTGTTCTACACATTTTTACATAATAGCAGGGAAGGGATGTTCCTTTATCTACCTGAGGAACAGTAATTTTATGCGCACGCGGCATATACTAGCTAGTACCGTACTAGATTTAGGAAAATCAAGGTTGACGCATTCTCGATCGCCGACTGAGACGACGTGACGCATGCGCAGTGCCTTAAAATGACGTCACACGTTGCAGTCAAAGCTGTCAACGTGCAAATCTAAAAGTCCCTAATGATGTAACTGTGGACTGGCTTACTGAAGACAGACATAGGAAACTTATTATTTTATCACTGTTTTCTCTTCTTTCCATATCACACCATAGGGGAGCAGTAATATACTCGCTTTTTCATGAAAAAGATAAGGGATAGTCTCTGTAAATGAATCACATGAGACCGCATTTGACTAATTATTTGATTAGGACCTAGGAGAGAGTTGTATATAAAATATCACATCATCATTATTATCTATTAGTAATGTTCACTGGCTGATGTTGACCATAGCTAAAAACATAAGAAACATCCACCCCCTCCTTTCAAGCAATGGTTTAGGCCAGCCACCACAAATCCCATGTAACTTTGGACTCTTCCATTAGAGCCATGGGTATAATACACTGGCTGATGTTCACATAGCTGCAAACATCATAAGAAACATCAACCCCTCCTTTCAAGCAATGGTATAGGCCAGCCACCACAAATCACTGTAACTTTGGACTGTTCCATTACAGCCATGGGTATGATCCTCACCTCCAGGGAGTCATCCCTGTATCCGGTAATTCCTTCATCCACCGAGAGAAGAACCAGATCAAGGCCATAGTCGTATTTCTCATTGAGTAGCTTCAGCACATAGGCTAGTACTGTGGAATCTGAAGCATAAGATGAAAGCAAAGAAAAGAAGAAGGAAACGATAGATGGTTTGAATCAAATTGAAATAATGTTCATAATATTCATGCATTTTAAATGTCCAATACACCAGTTTACAGTTGTGTGCGCCATTTTAAACAAAGCTAATGACCTGTAGGAGTCATGTATTTATGCGTAAATTAAGATTGCGCCCATGCAAATAATGATGACATCACTGCCTGCGCGCTGCGTTGTGCGCGCACATCATCATTTGCATGGGCGCAATTTTAATTTACGCATAAATACCAGAGGTCAGAGGTTATTGGCCCCAATTTTGGGGCCAATGACACGAGGTCAACTGTCTGCGCATGCGCACTGATACAACTGTAAACTGGTGTATCGAAGATTTAAAAGCATGAAGGTATTATACAAATATACCAAGCTGTGAGAAAGTATAGTGGAAATTATTTATCTGAGAGGGAATGGCATAGTACTATTTTTTCAGAGGGGTGAAGCCCTCCAACCCCCCCCCCCCCCCCCGAGGAAAAAATAGTTACTATTGCCAGTCCCTCCAAAGATATATAATTTCCACTTTCCATTTCCATGGGTTTATGGATATGAGCCCAGCTCCAGTTCAAATGCCAAAACAATGAGACAAGATGAGGTGAGGGCTGATGATCGAGGCTTCTACCATGGACTGTGCTGCCTGGTCCTTGCCTGGTCCTATAGGGAAAGTCTGCTATACCAACAGCATGCATAGCCTGTAACATTCACCTTCGTGGCCAACACCCCTCATCACTCCAAAATCAGAACAGAACAGAACAGAACAAGATCAGAAAGGTCCGATCCTCTAAAGCAATCTCACTAAACTGCTCTAAATGTTCAACCTACTTTGGTTCTCTCAATAGTAAACTCCTTAAAATTCTTTGTATTCCTCCAATGCCAAATCCCCTATACAAAACTGTCCCATCAAAAATTCCTTTAACTGAATCCTCTACAAAAACTGTCCTATCAACATTCTCCTCATCCTTTCGACAAACACATACAAAGAGAAACACCTGCTATACTGGAGAACCCAAGTTAGTAGACCTCACTATGAATATGATGGACAAAGAAAGCGGACAAAATATACAGTTCCTCAGGTAAATGTAGACAAAGGAACATCCCTTCACAGCTATTACGTACAAATGTGTAGAACAGGTGTCACATGCATATTCACCTGTTCTACACATTTGTACATAATAGCAGTGAATGGATTTTCCTTTGTCTACCTGAGGAACTGTATATTTTGTCCGCTTTCTTTGTCCATCATATCCATAGTGCCTAGGCCTAACAAGTGCTGCCTAATTACTGCCTAAATTGCTGCCAAACACATCCATTCAACTAGCACATGTATGTCTATTACATTATCTGCCTATACAACTCAACAGGGTCATGAGGGGTTAGAATGAAAGACATTCCAGTCACAATGTGACAGTCATGAACCATTTAGAAATGAATGAATCAATAAATGAATAAATGAAGGATAAGTGAATGAAAGAAGAATGAACAAATGAATAAATGAACAATGAGTGAATGAAAGAAGAATGAACGAATAAATAAATGAACGATGAGTGAATGAAAGAAGAATGAACGAATAAATAAATGAACGATGAGTGAATGAAAGAAGAATGAACGAATAAATAAATGAACGATGAGTGAATGAAAGAAGAATGAACGAATAAATAAATGAACGATGAGTGAATGAAAGAAGAATGAACGAATAAATAAATGAATAAATGAACAATGAGTGAATGAAAGAAGAATGAACGAATAAATAAATGAAAGAAGAATGAACGAATAAATAAATGAATAAATGAACGATGAGTGAAAGAAAGAAGAGTGAATAAAAAAATTAATGAATAAATGAAGGAATGAGTGAATGAAAGAAGAATGAACGAATAAATAAATGAAGTAATTAATAAATCAAATACTTAAATAACTAACTAAATTTTAAAAAACATTTAAAAAAGTAAATAAAATAAATAAATGAATAAATACAAAAACATGACTACCTTTGCCTCCTGAGGCTCCGACAGCTACCCTCTCTCCTCTGGTGAAAAGCTTGCCTGTCACGATGGTGTGATGTATCTCACTCTCAAAGGCTGCGTAAAAACACTCCTTACACAAAGCATCACCCTGAAAGAATACATGAAAAATTATTGAGTTATAATGAAGCAAACTTAAGTCACTCGGTAACATTGCCTCAGATTCTGAAACAAAATCCTGGATGTAGCTCATGCTGCAATCATAATGATAAACCTTTAGGTCACCCATGACTTTTACAAGTCGATCACCTGTCTGATTATCAAGATATTTATGATTGGAATTCCAATTATTTTTTTTTCTCTAACGTTTTTTAAACACTGCAGTCTATTGGGGAAAATGAGTATGGTAAAACCGGTCACTCAAAGATTTTTACTTTTTTGAGGCACTTCATGATCATTTTGACGCGCAATATTGTAGAGGTTAAATATTACACCATATCACAGTCACTGATAAAACGTAGGGCTATGCATCTCAGATTTAACATTGTTAAACGATGCCTTTAAGCTAAGTTTCCACAAAATAAACCTTCAAATACTACAAAGAAGCACCATAGGCATTGTGCATCACAAAAAATATTAAAATCATCCTTTAAAAGATTATTTGAAATATGACAGATCATGAATCTGACATTCAAATACATGTGTACATGAAAGCAAGCTAGGAGCACTTCCTATAAAAAGCATTGCCTTACAGCAAAACTACAAGAGCAATTTTATATTAAAGAGATCAATCAAAATATATTTTGAATATATACAACGTATGAAGTTCATGTAATATATCACCTTTTTTGTTTTAATAAACCAAAATAATGATTTTTTTAAGGATCTTGATTTTCTTTAGCTTTAGTTATCCATCATTTTGGTACTAACAAAATTGGAAGGGGAAATAAGGTATCAAATAAAAGAATATGAGAAAGAAATACTTGATAAAGTATGGAATGAAAACAAAACTAATACAAAAGAGGAAAATAACTAAGCCCAAGATCTATGTAAGAGAAGGATTATTAGAGTAAAGCTCAAAAAGAAAGAAATAAAGAGAAACAAAAACAAAAAGGAGTGGCAGGAGAAAAGTGGCAAAAAAAGAAAAAGAGCTGAAAACAAAAGTGGAAAGAAATGAGCTTGACAGGTACATTGTACAAACAGAAGAACAAGAAAAAAATTATCCAGAAAACAAGAGACCTGAATAGGTAGTCCACGAAAAGAGGAGGAGTTACATTCTGGGAGTAAAACCAACAAAAAAATATGAATGATTAGGAGGAAATGTAGAAAAAGATGAAATAAGCATCGACCACGATCACCCAACGGGCCAACCCAGTGCACTGTTTACTCTAAAACCACTTCTAACTCAATTCCCCAAACTAAAACACCGTATGCCAACGTACCATTCTATTCAACCCAACAATAGGGTAAGGAATCGTGGCTCCGGGCGCTGGAAATGGAAGGAATAGCAAATTGACTAATTTGGTATTTTCATTAAATTGTTGGGTGCTTTATTTGTTTCTCTTTTCCCCCTTTTTCCGTTCGTTCGTTTCGTTTGAGGAAGAATGATTGAAACCCCCGCAGCCTGTAACATTTGATCTGCAGTTGTCAATTTAAGGACTGTAAAGTAGCCTTACGGCTGTGTTTGTCTGATATATAGTCAATATATCATCCGTTTCTTGTAGCACCTCTCACTTGAAAAATTTGTTTCCTCCTAAAACTTGTATTTCAATCTTTTAGTATTTCTTTGTCTGTTACACATTTCAATGTTTCTTTTAAAAAAAACTCAGATCAATCCCTTATCATTCTTAGAATTTAAGTAGATATGTTTGGTTTGATATTGGTGTATCAGTTTTTCAATCTCTATACTAATTCCATGAATAAAAATAGGGCATCAGAATTAATTCATGGCCCTGCCGGTATGTCATAAAAATGTCATTGTTCCAACAGTTTAAAAAGTAGGAGGGGGAAGTAGTATTCTCACTGGTATACCCTCGAAGCATTAGAGGGCAGTCTCTAAACCCTCAGATAAGAAGGTCTGTGAGATTACCGGTCTTATGTACTGTTGGTTTCGTGGGCTGGAAGTGCAGTAAGTTTTCAGGGCAAGCATTTCGAAAAATCATCGTGAGTGCAAGTCACCGACAAACCCATTAAAACATGTGTATTAAAATTAACACAAGTTTCAATGGGATGTCTTTGAAGTTCTTAACCTACAGTACATGTTAACCTGCCCTGAACTCCTTAAGAAAAAATGGGTACAGAGGAGAACTTGGATAAAGCCTTCTACATCTAATCCTCCTTTTGCCCCTAGACCCCCCCCCCCCCCCCCCCCCAAGGAAAAAAAAAAGAGTGTAGGATACATGATACATAATACTGTTTCAATTGGAAGGTTGCCTATGTTGGTTCAGTGGTAGAGCAGTCGGCTTGTAAGTTGCAACCAAGAAGTCAGTTGTTCGCAACAAAGTTGACAGGCTACTGCTCTCTAGTATCCTAAAAAAAGTCCCCTTGACAGGATTCAAAACTGTAGGTCCCTTGGTTGCTTACCTACAGTACAAGCTTATACTTGCTTTCTTAGCAATTGCACTGTAGCTGTTTACTCATCACCAATTTTCACTCCCTCAAAACCTCTTTCAACAGTCCTGGAAAAAAAATCAACTCCATAAGTCTCCAGGAAACCAAATTTTGAATTTGCTGGGCCTCTGTTTTCCCTGATCATCCATGACAATGAAAATAGTTTTTAATTTAGGAGAGACACGCTTTCCTTCCTCCACCCGTTTCCCCCCCTGACGGGCGTCGACGTTACCCTACCCATATGGACACCCACCCCCGGACCTGTGGCACAACCTGCTCTCAATCTGGTGGTCTGTTCATACCCGTTAATGGCCCAATGAAGCTACTGTTCACACAAAGTTTTAATCTGACTAATACATCACCCTACTCAACCATCCTAAACCAAGTTGCATTACCTGCTCTCAATCTGGTGGTCTGTTCATACTTGTAAATGTGCTTTAATAATAATGCTCCCGTTCACACAACATTAGATTCATGGTTTTTTTTTCAATAGCTCTCCAAATATGCCAAAGTCTAAAAATAATCATTGATTAAAGATAAACTCCAGTACTGGTAAAAAAAAAAAAATTAATTCTCACAGAATCAAACGAAACTTACACTGAATGTTCAAGATTACAAATAAATGACATGTGCCAAACAATTTTGGAAGAAAAAGTATACTGGCTGAGTAATGAGCATAGAAAGACAAGGAAACCAAGGTAGTACCATCCCCGACACGATGTGTGTTGTCCCATATATAGCTTTCTATGTGAGTGTTTGTTACTTTACCAAGACTCGGTCAAATTTATTATGATTTTGATGACTCCAGAACCTTGCAGTGCACACCAATACTTACATGCTACATGATCAACTGTTTCTGATCCTTTCACACCTTTTCTTTCACAATGCAATCGCATTACCAGTACTAAAGTTTAGCTTTAACAATTTCAATTTTGTGTAATATACTTCATTCAATTATAAGCAGTTATTTATCAAATAACTCAAGTATTTGTCATGATTACATTTTGGAACATTGTACATGTACATGCACAACATTTGTTTGGTTATTTTGAAACAATAAACTGAGTAAAATCTTTAAAAAACAAAATTTTGGAAAGGAAAATAAGAATATACTTTTAGAGCCGGAAGGGCATTAACTCTGTGTTTAACACAGTATATGAGCTCACACCCTTCTGGCACAAACAGGTGATATACTCTATCAGTCTGAAGAGTAATATATGACTTACAATCTACAACAAACAATTTCATATTGTATACAACAACACAATGCACTCAGGCTTCAATTAAATCTGTTCTTGTTCTTTCAAAATATGTAAATCAATCTGTACATAAATGATGTTGTTAATATTTAGATGGCATTACACAATAACATCGTGGAAACTCTCAATCCGCTCCCCCAAAACAACAGAGCAGCCACTCCTTTTTCCCCAAAAAACTATCTTTCACGTGTGAACAGGAACACAAACAAATGCAGCACGTCTTCAAAGATTCTTCTCCCTCGAACCACGACCTACCAGCATGGTCGCCTGCCAAAAATCTGGTGGCACTACTCGATACTCATACAATAGCAGTTAAGAAGACATGTAAGGAGAGTAGAGTTCCATATTTGCCTTGGGCGCCCATTAGGGCCTAGGTTTTTTTTTTCTTCCCCAAAACAAGTTCTGGTTGCCGAATAGAACCCTTATTCTTTACATGAAAGGAACATGGTGTTTGTCGGTACTATCTGTCATATACATTGCATCATTTTACATTTCAAGGTGGTATTAGAATATCAGTGAAAAGGGGGTCTACAGAAAGAATAAATAGCTACATGCATATTTGTACACTGTATACTTGTTTATATGCAAAGCTGGAAAAGAGAGTCAAAGACAAGGGGCTAGCCCTTGAATGTGGTCAACAGAAACATTCAAATCACAACTGAAAACTCTTTTGTTTTTTTGTTGTAAATATTGCAATATTCGAATTTACTATGTCTAGGAGAATTTCGTTTTTTGTCTTCTCTTTCTTATGTTTGTTATATGTACTTTTCTCTAAGCGCCGTGAGCATCGTGTGCTGTGTGCTATACAAGTAGCCACTATTTTCATTATTATTATTATACAGACCCGAACAATTTTCAATCTGGACGCCCTAAGAAAAAAAATGTTCATGTGGAGCCTCTCTTGATGATTGACAAGCAAAGATAGATCATCAAGCAACCAGCTTCCATTTTTGTGTCTTTCTTTCAAAAGAGAATCAATCAATATATTAGAAAGATCCCCTGCTGTTACTGTGTATAGACCATAACCATAAACAAATCATGCACATATGTTGACACACGTCAAGATATGCCCATTGAAGCGTGCATGGTGCAAGTCAACATCACTCCATCTCAAGTTGGAAGACTTGAGATCTCCCTCTCCCTTCCTCTCTCTCTCTCTCTCTCTCTCACTCTGCCCTTCCCTCTACCCATGTTTCCCCCCTCTCTCTCGCTCTCCAACCCCATTACCCATCTCGTTTTTTTCTTTCTCTGGTCTGACTGTCTCTGTCTCATTCTCTCACTC